GTTTCTACTTATACGTGACAGGCTGCGCTCGCGTGGTCGCTCATCATATTTTATGCAGCGTGGTTTTTGTTTTATAAATAATAACACTACGTTGGTTATTTAATAGATCCTTCTATACCATAAATGTATACGTATCTAGGTTTTATATACAAGTTTTATATAGTTAAGAAATACGCAAGGATGAAGTTCGTACCTATTAAGTTGAAAGCAAGGCCTCATTTCATTACTGTAATAGTCATCTGTTGATAGGCAAATCAAAGATAGCTAGTAAATTAATTATTCGAAGCGAAACAACATTTTAATTGGGTTCTTAACATCTATTGGTATTACTACTATTAATTTACTAAACTGAATTTGTAGATAAAGTTATAATGAAATTTCCAAACTTCAAATTGAAACGTTTGATATCTAACAAGCTTTTAAATTAGTCAGTCACTCACAACTAACAATTTCAAATAGATTAATGTTATCAATTCATTTCATTGATTTAGTGGATAACTAAAATATCATGTGGTTTTAAACACATAAGTACGTATAATGAGTTTATTACTTGTGATACGTTGCGAATAACTTAAATACATTAAAGATAAATAATATCATATTGTTTGTACTTATTAAATAAAAGTAAGGCGTAGATAAATAAGGTCCCGAGAATACTATGTGTATTTTGTGAAAACACATCTCAATTTCACATTTGTACCTTGTTTTGAGGGGGGAAAATCATTCAATGACTTTTCTCGCCCGGGTGAGGTGAGACGGAGAGTCAGACTATTACTGACTAAAAACCACCTCGTTCCTACTCCTGCACTTTGAGCCGGAGCCCCGGCAACCCGTTAAGTTCTCCGCGGCTCCGTAAACAAATGGTACCTGAGTACATAATTTTGTACGTTTCTAGAGTAGACTGCCATACGTAATTAACTTATCAACTAAGTAATTAATTCATGTTTTTTTTTTAATATTTGTCGCCTGTGACACAGGAATATTCCTAGTATAGGTAGGCATATTATTTTTAAGATCTTGTCGCTTAATTAAGATATTCTTGTACCTATGTTGACCAGTGTTATTATGAATAAAAATTTTATTTATTTATTTTATTTATAAAAGGAGTCACTTCACTCATCTACTTGTGAACTGACATACATAAAATAAGTTGTAAAGATGAAGGATCATCATATATTTTGTTTATATACCTATTTGTGTATAAATATTAGTTGTTTTTGTCTCTGTAGAAAGTACCCCTATATGGTACGAAATCTTTTCACGGTAACTATTAAATAAAGGGATCCTTTAATTAATTAATGTGTATGGCAGGCTTTTGTTTCGCACTTTCTATAGAACTTTGGACGCCTAGTAATTAACTTGTGTAATGTTTCGTTATCTGCTCATGTTGAAATTATATTTTTTCATTAAACTTACGGTTTCATCCCATTGAGTAAGCAGAAACCTTTCGATTATTCTGTGACACTGTATAGCGGGTACCTTGATGGACAATAACCAACATTTACATTTGGTACATTTCAATTAGAAACACCAAAATATGGTTTGTAGTGCTACATATTTGAAACTGTACATTTGCTTACCTATACCAAGAAATGATAGCATCGAAACGAACGAAAACTTTGGAACACACATTTTGCAAATCGGCAAATGAATTGCCTACCTACGGAAAATCCTATTTTCGCCATCCGTTCACTGAAGCAGAGCTCATCGATGTTTCAAAAACTTCGTTTTGTTTTCTTTTTAGTCGACTATCTATACGAGTCCTGCCGTCATTCTCGCCCATTCACTTGAACACATAACGTACAGTTTGTAACGAATACCTATGAAATGTAGAATTGACTTGGAGTTACAAAAATCCGTGAAAATATTTTTGTTGTTATTTCGTATTTATTGAAATAAATCTGGTTATATAGCCAAGTGACAATAGACTAAAAGTGATTATGTTGCACACTGGATACTGATATCTTATATCATTAGATACCTACTTTGTAATCACTTCACCAAGCAAACAGTACATAAAATACTTAAACTATAATGAAATTCACACACTGACTCGGAAAGTTCATACAAACAATCTGAATGTTTGTCAGTTTCTCAGCAAAACGTTGGCTCAGCCGCGGAGCTCCGTGAGGCAAGGTGCACGGAACCCAACACTCACTATTGTCTCTTTGGCACTCACTTTACGGGCTAATTGATTCTCTTTCATGCAGCGCCGAACAAGAAAACGCTGTTAAGATTTCTCTGCTTTGTACGTTAATTGAACTTGTTCCAGTGCAGTGCTGTGCACCGATGCGGTTTGCTCAATGTTTAAACTACAATGCATCGATTTGTTTTATTCATTACATATACATATTCTTCACCTATTTAGAGGTCAGCGTAGACTTTTCTGGTAATATTTACTTTATTACGCCACACAATGAAACCACACCCTCATTAATTCGTGTAGTATTCGGAGAATCCTGATAGTTATTGGCCACGTAACTTGAACTTCCCCTATATAACGCTGAGTAATTCTACATTGCTAGTTCTACACAATTGAATGAAAGTTACACGTAGCAAGTTAAACTATGCGGCTTCCCGCAGCGGTCCACGGACGGAAACAAATCAACCTCCACATACACGACAAACCACACACGATAACCGCTCGTTAAAACTAAACGATACTGGTTACCCGTGATTGAACTACAATCTAAACAAGAATTCCAGCTATGATTTGATTCTAAGATTAACTTAAAGCTTTAGTTATCTCTAAGAAGTAAGTAATATAATACAGGAGGTAAGTAAGTTTATAACTGACTGCCTCGTTGGCCAAGTGGTCGCAATTGCGACTGGCGGGCAAGGGGTCTCGGGTTCGATTCCGGGGTCGGGCAAAGTATTAATGGGCTTTTTCAAAAATATCTCAGTAATAGCACGGAGTCTGGAATTGTGCCCCGTATAGTGCAATAGGCTCACCCCCTATTCCATGGGACTCATAACATAAATAGTGAAAAGTGGGTGTTACATTGTACAGTGGCATTGTGCCGTAATGTACACCTCTGCCTACCCCTTCGGGGATAAAAGGCGTGATGTTAGTTAGTAAGTTTATAATTATGTCTCCATAAAATGATTTACATTGTATGTAGACGTCCGTACGTATAATGAAATATTCCCTTATGAAAGGAATACTAAAAACTAAAACTTTATTTTCGATACATGTAATTTAATGAAATCGATGTTCGTTCCCCCCCTCTTCTATACTACTTCTACCGACAGATTCAGTTTTATCCATCCATGTCTCTGTATGAAACTTAAATTGCGGTCACGTAATTTAATTAATTAATTATTTGCAATGCAATGCAATGTTTATTCTCGGAAGACCTGTACTTGGCTTCTCGGCACATTTACGCAATGTGGTGCAATGAACTGAAGCGGAGTGGCTTAATTTAAATATTTATTAGTCACCTTCAGCTGCGTGAAAGGGGCGAGCGGTAAATCATGACATCGCTCAATATAAACAATAGGTACGGCCATAAAGATAACAAGGGTGGAAGGTGGCCCACATTAGTCTTCCCGTGGTGTAACGTTTGTTCGTCTGACAGTATTCATTAAGGCACAAAAGCGTTGTCTATCAGGTAGTTTCCGCGACGGTCGTGTTCCTTCTTAACAAATTGCTGGAGTAATGTGCGAGGTGCCTGGACAATGGAAGTGCTCCTCAACGGAACTGCCGCCACTATTTACCAGTCTTACCAGTCACGGGTCTTCAGCTCACTTTTACAAGGTAACAATGTAATGGGTTGTTCCTCTTCCCCTTGTTAATAAATAAGTAACTTTGTATACCTAATCCTTACTAATATTATAAATCGGAAAGTAAGTTTGTTTGTTTGTTTGTTTGTTCCGCTTTCACGCCGTAACTACTAAACCGATTGCTTTTAATTTTTGCAGACGTAAAGCTAGAAGTCTGGATTAAATAATAGGGTACTTTTTATTCCGGAAAAATGAGATATTCTCGAGAAAAAACGAAATTATTGGTATAGATAGCGCTGTGTGTATTGGTCATACAGGCTACTTTTTATCCTTTTGTGACGCGAGCGAAGCCGCGGGTAAAAGCTAGTCAAAACTAAATATGGTTTTTGATTTGTGATGAAGTTTTCAGGCGAAAGTTATCTTAAGAACAACTGATAGCGAATCAGAAACTTAAACGAAAATGAAGAATGTGGTTTCAACAGTTGGCGGCAGTAGTATGTGAAAGGCAGATGGTTTAATGAAATGTGATGCTGCTGATCGTAGTAGGTATCGAAGTGATTTTTAACTCGTCGAGTACCGGTTTTATAGACACAATTAAAGAACAATAGGTCGCGGTCACCGGTGACCGCTTGGTGTTTGACAGTTTAAACTATGTTAATGTGAATGGTATATAGAACGAAGGAATAAAAAAATTAAAACCACTTTTTAATTAAAAATAATTTATTGACTTCAAATATAATAGTTTGCTTGATTGATCCAGTCGATCGATTGTCAAATACTAATACACCTGGAATGTAAAAGAAAGTATTATATATTGTGAAGATAATGTAGTTTACTAAACAATATGTATTAAAATGTAACTTTTATTGAATGACAATTAAAGCAACGCAAGTTTTTGAGACATGCAAATCAAGGCCTGGTTTCGTGCATTTTAGGGATGCAGTATTCATGCAGAGTTAGTTCTGTGAGAGGTATATTGTACAATGCATAGTATGAAGATGTGACCTTCACCAGTTTGCAGTTTATGTGATTGATACTTGCATAAGTTTTATGTGTTTCACCTGTAATTGTAAATAATATGGTTCAAAATTACAATGCTAGAATTTCTTCATTAAAAACCAAATTATTATTTATGATAATAATTGTTAATAATTTTCACAGTTTGTTAGTTTATTTTAGTTAAGAATTAGTAGCATTGTAGTACTGTAATATTTTATGGTATAAACTCATGCTTTGTAAACGTTACTAGACAATACATACTATGTTAGTGTAATGGATTATCTCACTAATACTCCAGTGAATGTATTTAGGTTTCTGTATAATTCTTTACTGTTACACAGTATCGCAAAAACAAACGGATGGTCTGCCCGAAAGTCATAGGTAGATCTAAATGCGGCCCTTACGTCAAGGCTAAAATCTGAAATAGTTGCTAAAATTAATTTGTGAATTTATGTACATTGATATGTTTATGTTATATATAATTAACTTATATAATTAAATTATATATATCATAATTGTATTGTTTGACGAACGAATGTGTTGAGTAATAATAAATCTTTCTACAGATCCCTGCGTTTGATAGAAAATGGAGTGTCAGGAGAGTTTGGAGATACTGTCTAAGTTTACCTAATGTTAATAAGTATATAAGAAAAATATACATGCGTTCTACAACAGGCTGATATACCTGATATATGGCAGCAATACCTAGGCAGTATGGCCAAAGCTTGTCAAGAATTTTAATAAAATCAGTTAAGAGAAGACGTTACATGCACTTGCATTTTAGCCTTTAATAAGAAAAGAATAAAAGAGCCACGTAACCAAAGAGTTTGAAATTATTAAACAAATATATTTCACTACTATATTATCTGTACTACATTTATTAGAAACAGAAAAAGCATAGCGATGTATGAGAAGCTGTTGTAATTTATTAAAATGGCTGCCTTGTCGATAGTTGTCACAAGCGCGACTACGTAGCTTCGACTTTGTATTGGGTCAGGAAAAATTGTATAGGTATATATTTCTTTTCGGTTTTTGAATAATTCTCAGCTGTCGGGTGTAGTCTGGATGTGTATAGTATATGAACTCGCTCTTAATTAGGTACATGGGACTTATAACAAGACTGGCGAAGTGGGTGTTACATTTAAAATGTGATGTTGTGCTTGTTTCTTGTTTCTACGGGGAACAAAGGCGTGATGCAATGTAATGTTAGAAATGATCATGCGTTGAGTGCAAATTAATGCACCAAAATACGCGTAAGTACCTAAACTTGGAAGACTCCATTAAACAGAACGTTATTCCCCTCCATTAAGAAGAACACGAACGGATGGTCCGCCTTGAATATTTTCTGAACCGGTATAAAAGCGCTCAAATACGCGATACCGAATTCTGTAACGACAACGGCGGAAATGATGCTTAGTACAAGTCCAATGTTTACATTTTATACATACATCTCTATATTGTAAACGTGTATGCTTCAATTTACATGGAAATAGACAACTTTAAACAATTTACTTTACTGTAGTCGATATGAAATATCATTCAAAGAACTACTGCTTCTTTACCTCGATTATCTTGTCTTTAGTCTCATTGAGAGATCATTGTAACCAGTTATTTTCTTAACCAAATACTATTTAGTAGGTATCCAAAATTGCAATATTGTATTATTATCTAAATTAAAGCATAAACATTAACATAATATTATAATTGTAAGTAAATAAATAATAGGTATATAAATGAGGAAAATAATCAAAATTGATTGTGACAAAACAGATAACAAATTATTATCTAGAACTGTTGATTCATTTTAAGTGTTTTGAATAATAAAAAATCTAATAAGTGACGTAAATGTATCATGCAATAAAATTAATGGAAACTAATTCATAAAAAGTAGTGTTTTATATGTATAAGTATCAATCAGTGATGTAGACACGGCATAATCACAAAACTTTGAATTGTATTATAGGTATTATTATTGTGAAGTCTTTATTATGAAATTAATTGGTAGGTGAGTACAGCAGTATAGTGGGCGTTTTGACAAGTTGTGAGATACAATTCCTTTGACGAGCGATTTGCTTTTATTTTTGGATTTTAATTATTGAAACCTTACCAGCTGCCCACCCTGTTACTTAAAAAACCCTTCATCAGTTTCCTTTCTAAAACTCCCAAATTCCTCATAACAACTGTTAGTTTAATATTTTAATTTACTTAAAAAAAAACAGAAAACTGCAAATGGATACCTATTCAGCAACGATGCCAGAGAAGTAGATCATATTGTTTACCCTTAGTTCAAAATAAAATGGATGATTGACAAGTAGATGCGTTTCGCTACCGAAACTTTTAAGGCCTATGGAGACATCTGAAATTGTTTATATAAGAAGAATTTTATTATTAATCACTTATAAGAAAAATATATTTTGTCGTTGCACTCTGAAAATCAATAATCTTTCTTTCTTTAGTATTTTGTCTTCGGTGGCTACAAAAGACAGAATAGTACATATTTCTTAATTTTTAAAATGAAATATTGCATCCATCATTGCATGCGTAAATAATGAAAGTCCTTTAACTTTGTCCATAGACATTATTGTATTTGTCAGTTGACATACGTGTACACATTGTTCTTAACAAAAATATTTATTTAGAAGGCATTATAAATTAAAACTTATTCTTTTGTACTGTACCCGCATAAACTAAAATTATATTTTTATACAAATTCTACTTAAACCTAGACGTATATTACATTTTTAAGAAATCGTGGCGTTTAGAAATTATAGGATTTGTATTTTAATTCCTGGAATTTTTATCTAGATTCAATAATATTCTCAAAGAAAATTATACCCCGAAATATTGTTCAAAGGTTCATGTTTTTTCGCCGCAAAACAAATTTTACGATTCTATTTAAGAGGTTAATTGTGTGTGTTCTTTATTAATTAAAATCAAAGTTTCAATATGGCGGAAAAGTTGGTTGTTTTAAAGTAGAAAGCCGCGTCAATTTTCAATGAGCCTTAATGCGCGTGGCGGTAATGGCAAGAGTATAAAAAAGTCTCTTGTTACAAGAGATTTTTGTACTAATTTAATTTTGTAACTAAATTAAATGAATTAGTTCTGCAACAAACTAACAAGTCACCTAAACAAACCGCGTATATTTATTTTCTTCGCTCTTAAAAAAAAAACTGATAATATTTTATTATCTGTTTGCGTAAGAGAAAGGAGGTTTGATATGAAACGTAGGATTGTACTCACCGTTAGCCACGGCGGCCTCAGCGCCCTCCTCATTCATTTCAATGAATGCTTTCTGAAGAGCATTACTTACATACAAGTCTTTTGCATCCTTGATCAAATAGTTTAATCTAGCTTCACCACGGGTGAACAACTTTTTAATGTTCATCTAAAATGTACAAGAAAACATAAATTAGGATAAAAAAGTATGTATTAGTTACGATATCAACTTCCACACAATGCTTGTAATAGGACTTAGGTTAGGATATTAGGGCTAGATTTTAAAAATCTGTTGTATGTCATCGGATACAGATGAATAATGTTCAATTTTGACTGCACGGTTGGCACGGTAGCTGAGCTACTGGCTGCCGCGTAACGTATAGCGGGTTCGATTCCTGCACGGAGCAGCTCTGTGTGATCCACGAATTGTTGTTTCGGGTCTGGGTGTCATTATGTATGTGAACTTGTATGTTTGTAAATGCACCCACGACATAGAAAGAAAATTCTAGTGTGTGACAACGTTAAAAATATTACTCAAACGCCATTCAATTTTAAGTTCTGTCACTACTAATTCTTTGTAAAATGATAGAGATAGCACGATATTTATGTACAATTTAAAATTGAGTAGTCTTTCAGATTACTTACTTTGTAAAGAATATCAGCTAAGTCAGTAGTGGTTTCAATTTTGAATTTGGGAACATCAACAATCACTTCATTTGTGTACATGTTCTCCATGGCTTTTGACAACAGTTCTGGGTTCTCCAGCTTCTTGAGTAGGTTGTTGATACCATCGATTTCATTTGGCAGTACGATGAGAAGCGATGACTCATCTCCGGAATACGGCATTTCTAAGAGCTAGAAGGACAAAATTACCGATCCGGTATTTATTGAGGATACATTATTTCGAGTGATGAAATGATGAATGATGAAACTGATGAGTGGCTGTCGTGTAAGTTATTCTGATGTGTACGTTTGATATGATAAGAGTTGTTTTTATAGAAATACAAAAGTTCCAATTTAAGTATAGTATTTTCATTTGTTACCATAATTATTTTACTGAGGAAATGTTGAATTATTTTATTTGGTGTTTAGTAATGTCAATATGGCGGCAGTGGCTTATGTTTTGTGAGTTTGAATTGAAACATAATATACCATCACGTCTTTTATCCCCGAAGGGGTAGGCAGAGGTGCACATTATACCACGGTAACATCCACTTTTCACTATTTATGTTATGAGTCCCATGTAATAGGGGGTGAGCTTATTGCCATATACCGGGCACAATTCCAGACTCCGTGCTACTACTGAAAATATTTGAAAAAACCCAGTAATACTTTGCCCGATCCGGGAATCGGACCCGAGACCCCTTGCCCGGCAGTCACACTTACGACTTCTCGGCCAACGAAGCAGTTTGAATTGAAGTTTTAGTAAATTAATTTACCTTAGCGTCAAGTTCCTTGCTTTCACCATATTTGAAGTCATCAACGACGTGCATTGTTGGTTTTTTGACAATTTTGTCTTTGCTTACATGGAAGTCACGGTCTTCTGTCTGTTCTGGCTTGAATGGTACCTTCCATTTACCCTAAAAACGATAAATAATTTAATAAGGCCCTTTGCTTGCTTCATAAGAAAAAAGAAATACAGGTTCAATCCCTAAACAAAAAAAGAGCTTCTGGAATCCGAAATTACAATAAACACAGTATTATTTAGTGTTTATAATTTATGATAGATCTAGTGAAATTGGGGTACAGATTCTGTATAAAAACTTAAACAAAGGTGGGTAGAATTCAAAAGTTCAAAAATATTTTTAGGAATACCTACACTCGTAGGTGTCACACTAATCTGATATTATGAATGTGGAAGTTTCTTTGTTTGGATATTCGGATGTTTGTCCGTCAATCACACTGAAACTACAGAACAGATTTTGATGAAATTTGATATACAGACAGGGTAAGGACTAACTTAGGTGATAGGATACTGTTTATCCCGATTAAATGCTCCCATGGGATAAAACAGCAATCATATTCTACACGGACGCCGTCGCGGGCTACAGCTAATTTTAAATAGTTATTATGTTACATAGATTTATTTCTTTATGTAATAAAGTACCTTGAAGTACATTGCGTTTACAAGGACGGCGGCAGTAAGTGCGTCCAGTGAGTCTGCTGCTACCAAGTCCTTGATACGGTGGTTTGTCTGATCTTCAACCTGGAAGTAAATAAAAATTGGATAAATGATAAGCCACCTGAGGTACTTCATTCATCCGTCGATCCGTCCATCCTGGTAGTACCAGATGTGATTTCTGATGTACACTGACTTAGAATATTGGAGAGGCCTACCAGCTGTGAAGGGCAACTTTATATGATCCATCCTCCTCCTTATCCTCAATCCCCAAACCTCAATCCATTAATCCCCAAGAGACGGGCTGTACTTGTGACTCCTCAGGTGTTCCGGGTGTTCATAAGCAGCGATGCCCATGCAAAGTCAATTGCTAACCACCAGGTAATGTCTGCACAGTTACCAAGCAATGCCATAAAAATGATGAATTTTACCCAAGTGTTGATTTCCTTTGCCGCTTCTACGTTCTTTGAAAAGTCAATGTTCTTGGCGTCGGAGTTGAAAACATCTCTGGAGACAGCTGCGAACTGAGGGTTCAGCTCTTCTCCCTGTCGTACGTATACTCTGCTTGCTAGATTTAACTCGATACCCTTAACTGATCGCAGTTGTCTGTTCACCTCTGTGAATACTTCTTTTGTCTGTAAGTAATAATTTCTTATTAATGCATTGCTACTTAAAATAATTCTTCTACATTCTTCTACACAGCGGTGTCTTCTAGCTACTATCGTAGATGAGTTGAATTGAGACTTGGAAGCATAATCCTTACTTATATTATAAATCGGAAAGTTTGTTTGTTTGTTTGTTTGTTTGTTCCACTTTAACGCCGTAACTACTAAACCGATTGCTTTGAAATTTTGCAAAAGTAAAGTTAGAAGTCCGGATTAAATAATAGGGTACTTTTTATCCCTGAAAAATTTGATATTCCCGAGAGAAAACAAAAGTATTGGTATAGATGGTGCTGTGTGTATTGGTATATGTCACATTGGCTTTTTATCCGTTTGTGACGCGAGCGAAGCCGCGGGTAAAAGCTAGTCAAATATATAATTATATATGTATAATAAATGCGTTTATTCTTTGTCAGTAGCATTAACAATGTATCTATGATGAAGATTAAATTTAAACTTACCACATTGTCATTTGGCAAGCCAATGGCTCTGAGGACCTCATCATGAGATTCTCCTTCTGAAGCCAAACCCAGCTGTGCTAAGGGCGATAGCAGGGAAAACGCTGATATTACAATATTTTCATTTGGTTTTGCCTTGACGACTTCCTGAAAGATAGAAACAGTTTTAATATTATTTTTTTTTAAAGTACTGCTTTGTTGATATAGATATTACAAGTGTGATCGATTTGCAAGTTTCAGATACGATTCCCAAGACCGATATGAAAAGAACTTTCGATTTAAAGATGGCAGAAATCCTTTTGACACTAAATCCATGCATCTATCAATATTATTTTTCTATCAATATTCACTTTCATAATTTTATCAGTAAGAATCTGACTTCTCCCGCCCGGGCGAGCTGAGAGATCTCTCTCTCAGCTCTCCCGGGCGGGAGAAGTCATTTGATGAATTAGTCCCTTTCATAAAAACATCAAGTTTATGTCTTGGTTTGTGGTTTGTTTACAAAAATTTCACATCAATCTTGGTCTGAGTATAGAACATTGTACCTTTGCTTATCATATGGGAAAATCCAGATGTTATATTGCATTTGAAATACCATACAGAGTACATAGTAATAATGAGTTTCCAACGACAGGTATGTATAAAATTATCCAATAAAGGAAAACATAAGTCTGTAGGTATTGCTTGTTCGGCTGATTGCGTCACGGTCTTTGTTTCTGATCACGTTCAAGGACTATTTTATAATCGTGATAATATGATTGACTATCGCGTTTGTGATGTTAAAACTTCCCGTTTTTCTTATATACTGTTGACTTGGTATGTTTTGTTTTTATGGGATATTGACTCGCATATTAGTTAGTAATTATTCCATCACTGTAAAGTTTTGTTACTTCTTGATAGTAATGAAGTAACAACGCATAAAACATAACTACCGCCAGTTAGTTTATTTATTTTATTAGTCTTAATGTAGGGTAGGTTCTATTTTACTCCCTATTAGTTATAAGTTACCTAAATCTGAAACGAAATCTAATATCTAACAATAATTAGAGCGGAATATTGCAAAAACCTTTAAAATACGTGCCTGTAAAATATTGATATTAGCATGATATTAAAAATATGAATTCCTATGTGATTTCGTATTCATCTAGGTATGTGTGATAATGGAAAATAATTTCATCAACAAATCAAATTAAATATTACAATGTCTTATAAGTTAAAATGTACTAATGAAACATTTCAAGATAAATGCCCATTGTAGGTACCTACACGTGTGAACTTTTTTATAATAAAATAAGAAGGTATTTATTTAATGGTCATCAACTTATACCTATTATTTTAGATCAGCAGCTTTCTTTTAGAAATTCTTTTTTACTTGGTTTGGCAAACTTGGAGATTGTGAATGGCAAATGCTCTTATGTAGAGGAGGCCCATAGTCTAACAGGAGTATCAAGGGCTGTACATGATAAGCATAATCCCAGGAAATATTTATAATTTCAAGTAGTAGATCCAAAGAGTTTTATAACTTGTGGAACACGTATATATGTTTAGTGTTTTTGGGCAGTAACACGTGTCATATTAGATACATTAAAAATAAGAAATTGTTATCAAAATCCATAATTACTTTTAGGTCATTTCTTATCTCGAAGAAGCTCCACGTTATCGTACGTTTAACCGATACGGTTAATACAAAAATTGTACCAATTATTTGATACCATTATTGCGTAATGTTGTTTATCTTGAGTTGTAAGATTGTTTACTTACTTGGAACATTTTTGCTGTAAACTGGTCACTGCCAGCTTTTAAAATATCTAGGTTCGAGTCCGACATTGCTGTTGCCGCGAGGGCCAATACTGAAACATAAGAATAAACGTCTTAGAACCAATTATACCTCTACAATCATCAGTTAATTCTGAACTGTAGAATGAAATTGACAGTTAATAGTTTTTAATAACTTTGACTGCCTCGTTGGCAGAGTGGTTGCAAGTGCGACTGCCGGGCAAGGGGTCTAGGGTTCAATTCCCGGGTCGGGCAAAGTATTACTGGGTTTTTAAACAATTCTCAGTAGTAGCACGGAGTCTGGATTTGTGCCCGGTATATGGCAATAGGCTCACCCCCTATTACATGGGACTCATAACATAAATAGTGAAAAGTGGGTGTTACATTGTACGGTGGCATAATGTTCACCTCTGCCTATCCCTTCGGGGATAAAAGGCGTCAACTATTGAAAGTTATTCCTCAGTTAAAATTTATCTAGGCATTAAAAAATTGGCCCTTAACAAATATAATAGGCACTTAATCCGTCATTTGACAAAGCTTGCGTGATGTCAATAATGTGCATTTACGTAAGTGAGAAAAAATATTATAAATAAGCTGTCATTTCGAGAGGATAATGTAAACATTAGGTTGTTTATTAATGTATTATTCCATTTGTATTCCTTATCTTCAATCATTTAAATTCACTGGACATAAATTAAGAATTCAATATTTATATGTGTGGGTATAATTGAAATAATGCAAGACTAGTTTTTATTCTGGATGCTCAATCATCCATTTGCTATACTTGTAGTATTGCAGACGTGAGTTCATGACCTTTCCTAGTTACGTTTCACACACAGTAAAATAAAATAAACCTGCTTGTTACAGAGCAAGTCTTCTAAAGTCTTATGTATATGAGTTGTACAAGTTTTTTCCTACTAGAACTAGTTTTGAAACTAAGGTGAATAGTTTTTGTATACACACGAACACAATAGATGTGTTTTTTATGTACTTATGCGATATACATGTACACAGAGGTAATCATGGTCATCTCATTGTTTCAATGTGTGTTAAAGTATAATGACCTAGCTACTATTTGAGAGTACGGTATTTTGTTATCAAACGATTTAGTTGATATATATTTAATAAGCGTGGAATATGCCCACTATTGTTATAGACAATGTAATTGTATTGAGGATATTCATTTATAAGACATAACAAATATAACATTAACGGAAAGGTATAAGGAAAACCGGCAAGTAATGTTATGTCAGGGAATCCCAGTCAACCTTAAAGTCAAGTTTTCCGATAAAAATCAAATTATTTTACGTCATAGCATGCGTTAAATGTTTTTTAAATTTTATATCATGACGCATAAATGCATCATTGACGGTATTTCCATATTGTATACGCATAGATTTGAATGTAAAAATAATTATAAAAAAAGAATTTCAAGACGTTCTATAACACTCTATAAATATTAATAATTTTGTTATAAACAAAATATTGCTAATTATGTTAGGTAATAAGCTGTTTTGTTTATGATAAACTGTAAAACAATGATGTCACGTCATTAATTTTATACACTTTAAAAATATTCGATATTGTTTTTAAATCACTTTTCTATCTTAAATTTTGCACGGCATACAAAAATAGACGAAATTAAAGTAATAGGTATGTGTTTCAAAATAGGTTATGAGATCGCCACTGTAACAAACTAATAAAAAGGATCAAGAATAAGGATTTATTAATAGAATACCTGTTAGTTAAGTTATAACTGACAAATATGTTCCTTTTAAAATGCACTTGCAAAAAATTAACACTTTATTCAAGGTTTAAATTAAAATTAGTTACAGTTTGTTTGTGTTGTACGTTTATTTTTACAAATTATAATTAAAAACTCACCGCATATAAAGAGTTTCATGGCTGCGGCGTCTGAGTCGAACGTTGGCACAACACTAACCGGTTAGGGCCACGGTTCTCTTTTTAAATCATATAATTTGTATAGTGACGCGCTCTGTGATCGCCACCAACTTGCTAGATAAACCATTTACATTCGGGTATTTACGAAAAAAACGTAAACAGTTCAACGGAATTCCTTTTATTTTGGACGTATGTATGACATTATTTCTAGTTATTGGTTACGAAGTAGTAATTGTAATTGCCCGTGAAATTTTTAGGAGGAAGCCGGGGATAGAAAAGCTTTTATTATATTATGTATACAGTACAATATTTATTTTAGTTTAGTAGGAAATATAAATGTTGTATCTTTTAGAGCAAAGCAATTAAAATTGAATAAGATACAAGTTACATTTATTTTTAGTAGGAAAATAAATGCCATATTGGTACAAATTAGTCCATTATTTTATATTGTTTAATTTTATTACGACAGTAGTTATTTTATTTAGTTAGGCATGTTATCATGAAATACAGAAATATTATTTTATTTAAAGCATTTTCCTTTATTTATTATTTTATACTTATTATTGGCGTAGCGTGCTACTTTAATTTGTAGGTGTGCATATTATTGTGCATAATAAATCACGTGCGGTAAAATTATTATGATTTATTGTTGAACACAGTTATTATTATGGTTTATGTAGGTAATAAAAAAAAATGGATTAATTTTTTTTTCCTTTTTGGCACCCGAGTCTCCAATACGATGTTGTCGCGTATACAGCCAGTGTCATGCGTTGTATATATTTCTTCAAAGAGTTTTGATTAGTCTGACAATGATGACGATGATGGGTCAATTGACTGCAATATTCAAGGTCTTTCGGTCTTCTTATATTCAGGTTAGATAAGGCTTCCAAAAATGATTTTTAAATCAACATAAAACTTTTAAGAAACTGTATGAAGTTAATTTTTTTCTCAAATTTTCTGTAGTTACGTTAAGGTAAAATTGGTATATATGTATAAGAAAATAAAAAGATTAATACATTAATACATTGCAATAGATAAATTTAAATATTTAAAACAAGCACACACAACGACACATCAAGCTATACATCCAGTCTAGCATGGTCACGCTTCGTATGATTTTTGCGCACATTCACCGGTCAGTTTATACTGGACGCGCATAGCTTGTACACTACAAAGACAGTTCATGAGTTTGCAGCTATTTTAGCGAGTTGAATGACCAGATATAGCACATTCAAAATTAACGCATTAGCATAAAAATCTTATTGTATTCAAAACTGTCACTAAAAAATATTTCATTTATATCTGCATGAGTACCGTTTTGATCGTTTCTTCATCAATTTCTATACTTTGTATACACAGGTGATCTGGTAACTAACTGTACTACAATAAGATTTTTGTTGATTACGATAACAAATTAATTTTGGGTCTAAGCACTATCACTCAATCGGGGCTTACGTTTTTTTGTTTATGGCGCAAATGTTAATATTTTTGACCAATCACAGCAGCTGTCATATATTGAACGTCCAAAGGTGTGACATTAGCTAATTCCTTATTGGACGAAGAACGAGAGGAAACTAGCGCCATCTAGTGAGTAAAAATACAGTAGGCTCAAGTAAAGTAAACAAATGAATGAGTAAAAGTAAAAAATATTATCTTTATTTATCTATGGTTGATAAAATCTTAATAGCAAAGTTTTGCTAGATACAAACAAAACTTTTTTATGTAAGGTGCCATTCATAAAAATGCTACATCGCAAAAAAATGCGCAAAATAAATAAATTTATAAGAGGTAGTCACTTTCTAAATTTACTCTTTTTTTAATTAACTTATTTTAATTAATAATTATTACATATTTTGGGCTATTATTATTCTGTATTGGCATACACCAATATGTTTATACTTAAGTATAGCTGTACAAAATGTTAAAATTTTTTTTTGCCTTTATACTTCCCGTGCTGTTATCTATAGTTTTCTGCATTTAACACCTCTTTGTCTTAGCTAGAAGAATATCGGGATTAAGAATGATCAACCATTCATAAATAGTCTTATACTACCTCTATTATAGAGGTATAAAGCGGAAGAGTTTGTTTTTTTGTTTGAACGCGCTAATCTCCGTAACTACACGTCTGATTTGAATAATTCTTTTTGTGTTGGATAGCGCATTTATCGAGAATAACTATAGGCTATAAAACATCACGCTACGACCAACAGGAGCTGAACAGAGCGGGTGCAACCGCGTGGAAGTAGCTAGTATCCATGTATAAACCTTTACTAGCATAATTTCTAAGTCACGAGTTAGTTAGTCATTAAATATTTTATCATAAATCAAGCAGCAACAATCCATTTGTTGGTTTTTCCATTCGACTATATATAGGTGCATTTAGGTATAACACTGGAAAATCAATTTGGTTTGATAACTTCTATAACAATCATATTTACCAATTGTGTATAAAATCACTCGTTAGGTTTATATGTACTAAGTATATTCGAATGTTTCTTTGTGTTTAGAGACTGTATATTATATATTATATTTTGGTCAAAACATAATATATAATATACCGCCTCGTTGGCCGAGTGGTCGGCCTGCGACTGTCGTGCAAGGGGTCTCAATTTCAATTCCCGTGTCGGGCTATAGTATTACTGGGTTTTTAAAAAAAAATCTCAGTAGTAGCACGGAGTCTGGAATTGTGCCCGGTATATGGCAATAGGCTCACCCCCTTTTACACGGGACTCATAACATAAATAGTGAAAAGTGAGTGTTACATTGTACAGTGGCATAATGTGCCTCTCGCCTACCCCTTCGGGGATAAAAGGCGTGATGTTAATGTTATGTTATGTTATATTTATTTGGTCTTTACTATCAAGCTAGATATGTATTTTTGTATGTTTTTGCGAAGGCGTTTTAAGAAAACAATATAGTTAATGTATGATATACTTATTTGTCAATGTAAGTGTCAATGTAATGTCAATCAAGGAAGATCTCAGCAAGGAAATTCTGGAAAAAAGGAAAGAGCTAATGCCTCAGTTAAAAGAAGAAAGAGCAAAGGGAAAAATTTGCTACTTCGTCAGGGACACAATTGTTACTAAGGAGCCGAAAGATGATAAAAGAGATAAGAGGAAAAGAGACTGCATCGACTCGCCAAATAAATCACCCAACAACCAATGCACGTCGGCCCCAAAAAAGATTAATAAAATTAATATCCTAGATTACGTCGCACGAGGCAGATCGACTTCACTATCTCTACCCACAAGCTCAAAAAACGACCAATAGACACCGACAATAGGAAACCGAAAACAACGAACAATACCTACCAACTCAAAAAAACTACCCATAAACTCACCCCAAGACGGATGGTCACCGTGGGGGAAGACGACCACTACCCTCCAAATACTATCTCTCCACCTAACACGAATGCTTTCAGATACAAGAAACAACAAACTGGAAAACATATATATATAGCTACATACAACACACTATCACTCAGGACGAAGAAGCTACAAGAACTTCTACATTCTTTGCGAGATATAAAATGGGACATAATCGGCTTAAGCGAAGTAAGAAGATATGGCGAAGCTATTGAGGAACATGATAACTTTATATTATACCATAAAGGCGAAACACCAGGGCGTCATGGAGTAGGATTCTTGATAAAGAAAACACTCAAAAATTCAATTTCGGAAATAATTGGCATATCAGAAAGAATAGCCATTTTGAGCATGGAGATACCCCCTGGCAAGGAAGTATGGTCTATAGTGCAAGTATACTCACCAACCGAACAATCAACGAAATCAGAAATTGAGTCATTCTACGTCTCCTTAAATGATGCCATTAAAGACCATGTACACAAAAACTACATTGTAATGGGAGATTTCAATGCTCAAATTGGACCACCAAGGAATGGAGAAGATATCGTCCTGGGGCCCTACAGTAGCGGCAAAAGAACAAGAAACGGACAAAAATTAATGGAAATGGCATTCGAGAATCACATGAAAATACTAAACAGTCAATTCAAAAAGAGACTATCCAGAAAATGGACCTGGGTATCACCAGATGGCAGATACAAAAATGAAATCGACTACGTGCTAACAAACAGACCAAAGTCATTTGATGACTGCGCCACTATCGCAAACTTAAACTTTAATAGTAACCACAGAATGCTTAGAGCACGCCTGAACACATCATCTGTCCTAAAATCAAGTCGACCCTTCAAAGCGAAAACCACAATACTAGGCAACAATGCTACAATAGTCACTATACAAGAAAATCTCCGCTCGATGTCACAATCATGCCTTGAGCATTTAAACACTCAAGAGAAATACAATATAATAAACGAAATGTTAACAGCAAAACCTAATACCAACCAAAGCGAATCAAAGAATAAAAGCCACATATCTGAAAAAACCCACGATCTCCTACAAAAGAGATCAAAACTAATACGCACAACAAACAAAACAAAAACTATTAGAGAACAAATTGGCAAACTGAGCAAAGAAATAAAGCTACAAATGAGAAAAGATAGAGAACATTCGAGACTTAACACTCTGGAAAAACATATTAAAGGACTGGCGGTATAAAGAAGGCCCTTAAAATCCTAACGGGTAAAACCAACTGGATACCTAATATGAAAGACCAACACTGTAAAACAAAAACCAAAAGAACAGAAATCCTATCAATAGCCACAAATTTCTACAAAAACCTATACTCCAGCAAGAGCCAAATAATAAATACAGACCTAAACAACTACGACAAGGTACCACCCATACTAGTAGAAGAAATACACAAAGCAATAATTACACAGAAGAACGACAAAGCCCCGGGTCCCGATGGTATCACGAACGAACTGCTTTTAGGCTGTAGAAACTGGATTGCACCGTTACTAAAATATGTTTTCAACGATATTATAGACACAGAAACAATTCCGACGCAGTGGACTACATCAACAATTATTCTCCTTCACAAAAAGGGGGAAAAGTCAGAATAAATAACTACAGACCCATTAGT